GGCATTATGTTACTCACCATTCATTTGAATATGAACAATAAGTCCTTAAGAATAAAGATTATATTCCTTTTCATCAACGAAGTTTCTATAATTAGTGAGCAAACTTAGCTTCTTAACGTTAGATATCGCAATAATAAATTCACGCTATTTGAGACATAATGATAATAGATATAACGTTGACATTGCCCTACTCATGCCCTAACTAACCTGTACTGCCACGTGAATGATGTTAGTGATGTAGTTACTCTGCCTGAACATGATCTGGCTTATATCGATATTCAGTATAATTATGATTATTATCATTTATATGAATTGACTGAAGAAACTAAATTGAAAAAAATATATATATATGACGGCACGTGCATCATTGCACGTGCGGCGACGTCAGTGTAACTAGACAGAATTCTTGTAAATAACACGTGCTCTGAACACCTGTACTATTGCACCTGCGATGGCGCCCGTTTTGCTTGTATAAAACGGACGGAGCGGCCGCTGTTAGGACAGTCTTGGCTCTGACGTGGAACGGTGCGCTTGTCGTATTCCGTTACTAGTTTATCCTTGACTCGTTGGATAATTAATTCGTGTAAACGAATTAATTATTATTCCTAACTACAAAAGTAGTCTGTACTATACTCAATTACCCTTTCTACATCAGAAGTGGGATAAAGTCCCCCTTATTGCCCACATATAACTTCGAATAGTATGAGAATTATTACATTTGTAAAGGCTATAATGCATTTCGCATTGATGGATCTCTTTTTATGTTAAATACCGTAATGAAATTTGCTGTCCTACTTACGATATTGTCGTATCATTAAAGTGTAGAGAAAAGATAAAGTGAAATTATTTAAGCCAAAAGATAAATCCTTTTGTTCGATTTGTATTAAAAATACCCTCAAATATTTTCATTATTTCCGACGTACCTAAATATGTTAATAAATGAAAGAAATGTCGGAGGCTTTCTAGACGAGTCATCGTTTGCATTGAATGAAAAATTAACTTGTTCAAGTTTTGTTGTAATTTGATAGTTCATGCGAAACATGATAATCATCTGTTATATTTTAAAATTCAAAACTTTTAAGCGATGTGCTAAAATAAAGGATTAACTTTAACATGCTAGGAATTGAAACTAATAAGTGACATTTTTGTGTTCTAACGTATTGATCAGTGTTGCAGTTTGCTCCGAATACTGTGTGGTCGACAAGATTGGGGTTTGACGTCGAGAGATTCGTAGAAGTCTCTACAACAATGATCAATGAGGAAGATGTTGTGACGGCTAATCGAACATGGTCAGGTACGGCCAAGCGCTAGTAAGATTGAGCCTACACCGCTACAGTTTGTAACTTATCGGCAGATCTTACGGCAAGGCAATTCAAGCGGCCGCCGAACACATGGTCCTTAGGTGCTGTAAATGAACGTCTGAGGCTTGGTCGGCTTTCGTAGATTGTGTGCAGTTACCTTCTTCCCTTTGAAATATGTGATGGTATCCGTCTCTACACTTAGTAACCGTTTTTTTTGCAATGTTTCCAAATGTCATACAGTTGCCGTTTCCTAAGAGAATATGTGATGAATTTTGGTTCGCAATACATTTATCTCGATTTCTTTTAATTTTGCAAAGCAGTACGACGATTTGCTAGCGCTAGTATGGCGCGACGGCTCGCTGGCGCGAATGTGGCACGGACGCAGCAGAAACGAAAAGCTGTAGTGCGTTTGCCTGGAGGTAGCCATATCGGCGCGTTCCAGACTTAAATGAAGTCTAGGATGGTCCACCGTTATAATATTTAACAAGAGTTAATATCTGTTAGCAGGTGGTGATAACTGATAAACCGTATGCTGTTCACTGTCAACCGCACGAGGACGTGCGACAGTCAGAGGTAGCCGTGTCTGTGCATCTAGAAAATACTAGGGACGTTGCAACACTAGCGAAGTAATTATTCTAGTGCAGGAAAGGAACATGAAGTGGAGGCTGGTCTGTGCTGCACTGAGATATGTGTCGTGTTGCTGTTGGTTTACATACTTAGGTGTTATCGTGTCACTACGTCCCTCACGATACACTTTTGTGTGATTGTTACGGGGACATGTTTGCGGTATGGTTGGTCTGTAACTGTTCTATACTGAATTGAAAAAAAAGAGAGTAAGAAAAAAAAATGTGGTTCTTACTATCATTGCAGGGCGTTTGCCGGTCCAATGATAAAGCTACAGGGAATAGTGATTCCGGACTAGCATAAATAGTACTGAAAAAAAAGAGATTAAGAAAAAAGAATAGTTCTTACAATCATTGCAGGGCTTTGTGCCGGTCCAGTGATATAGCTATAGGGAATAGTGATTCCGGACTAGCGAAAACAGTACTTGAAAAAAAAAAATAGAAAAAGCTACAGACTAATCATTCCGATCTAGCATAAAGATGATAAAAGTTTTGTAGGGCTTACTGCCGGAACAAAACTGATTATCACCCGAGTCTGAAGGGTCAGTATAGACCGGACCAGACGCTGTTTTGTCAGGATAATCGAACGATGTTTTACAGATTACAGTTGTTACAGATAACAAAAATTGTGATGGAGCGCGTGCGAGGACGAACGCATGTCAGTATGGCCGTGACGGCACGTGCATCATTGCACGTGCGGCGACGTCAGTGTAACTAGACAGAATTCTTGTAAATAACACGTGCTCTGAACACCTGTACTATTGCACCTGCGATGGCGCCCGTTTTGCTTGTATAAAACGGACGGAGCGGCCGCTGTTAGGACAGTCTTTGCTCTGACGTGGAACGGTGCGCTTGTCGTATTCCGTTACTAGTTTATCCTTGACTCGTTGGATAATTAATTCGTGTAAACGAATTAATTATTATTCCTAACTACAAAAGTAGTCTGTACTATACTCAATTACCCTTTCTACATATATGATAAAATTAGTAAAATTGCAAAATTTAATGGAAATTACCATAATGTACCACGTAATATCCCTGTAATTCATATAGCCGGCATATAATTAATTGTATTTAATGGAAATTTATTTACAATAAGCTAAATTATCATTTTTGAAATGGAAACAAGGAGAATAATAAAAAAACAATAATTTAGCAATTGTTTGTTGTCATAGAAACATTTGTTTAAAAATTATCATGTCCACACTTTAATATAAAATTTTAGATGATAATGAATTCGGTTACCAATATAGATCATGATATTAAGATCACTTTTATTTCAGTTTTTTTCCAAAAGTCATGAGAACTACTAAACTACTTACTTATTTCTCTGGCTTAGCAACCCTAACAAATGTTCATTCGTAGCCTTCACCCTACAATTTCGTATATTTTCAAAGAGTTCCAGCATTTGCAAATTTACATTAATATGTTAGTGAATTAACAGGACTGAGATAACATTTTATCGAAAACTTTAATGTCGGCGTTGTTACAACACTATTTTATTCAAAACGTGTTTACAGCTTAACCTTATCTTAACAAAATAAGGTTGAATATTGCTTGTAATAAAGACAATTTGACATTTTGTCCATGTTTAGTTAAGATTCTATCCAAAAAATTAAAAAATTACACGTGCCTTTGTTAGAAAATACCTCTATTCGAAAAATTTTAATTTTTTACTTTCGTTTTTACACTCCTAAATTGCACAAAACAGCATATTTTCGCATATATCACTCAAGCAACGACCCGTCAGCTCGCAACAATTTGAGTCTGCGACTGACGGTCTATTACGCTCTACTGTCACTAATTGTGACATGTCTGCCCCGCCCACTTTGGGCTTCCTCTTGTTTTTTATATTCCGTGGATTCCGTCGAAATTTGGGCGGTGCTGCAGTCCCTTCAGCGATGCCAAGTTGACTGTCGGTATATCGAAGTGTTGAAGTGCTTGTACAGTAGGGCTACGATGGCTATCCGAGTACAGAACCAGAGTACGAAACCTATCCAATTGCAGAGAGGTGTAAGACAGGGTGACGTCATATCCCCGAAACTCTTTACCGCTGCATTGGAAGATGTTTTCAAGCTTCTGGACTGGAAAGGATACGGTATCAACATCAATGGCGAGTACATCACTCACCTTCGATTTGCCGACGATATAGTCCTTATGGCAGAATCGCTGGAGGACCTAAGCACTATGCTCAATGACCTCAATAGTGTTTACCAACGGATAGGTCTTAAGATGAACATGGACAAAACAAAGATAATGTTTAATGTCCATGTCACACCTATGCCGGTAGTTGTTGGGAACACTAAGCTCGAAGTTGTTGACGAGTATGTTTACCTGGGACAAATAGTCCGACTAGGTAAGTCCAACTTCGACCGAGAGGTCAATCGACGGATTCAACTCGGTTGGGCAGCGTTCGGGAAATTACGGCACATCTTCTCGTCAGGTATACCTCAAAACTTGAAAACGAGACTGTACACCCAGTGCGTGTTGCCAGTGATGACATACGGAACTGAGACGTGGTCCTTCACTGCTGGCCGGATGAGGAAGGTCGCTCAGCGAGCTATGGAGAGGGCTATGCTCGGAGTTTCTCTGCGTGATAAACTCAGAAATGAGGATATCCGCAGTAGAACTAGAGTGACCGACATAGCCCAACGGATTAGTAAGCTGAAGTGGCAATGGGCTGGCCATATAGCTCGAAGAACCGACAACCGATGGGGAAGAAAGGTTCTCGAGTGGCAGCCTCGTACCGGCAGGCGAAGTGTAGGGCGTCCCCCCACTAGATGGAGTGACGACCTGGTAAGATATGCAGGAAGTCGATGGATGCAGGTGGCTCAGGACCGTGCTTTGTGGCATTCTTTGGGGGAGGCCTATGTTCAGCAGTGGACTTGTGAAGGGCTGTAATGATAATGATGATGATGACATGTGTCAGTAGTATGTACTACATTATGGAAGAGAAATTGTAGGGGTCTAACGATTTCCCTTGGTGACCCAAATATTTTTTCATTTATAAGATTAATATGTTAGCTCTATAAATTTGTTGGAGTTTTATTAAGATTATATTATATTAATTTTACAGCCAGAAGCCTTATCTCGCTGTAGTACACCACTTTCGCCGACAGCGAACGCGCCTTTAGCTTCGCGAAGGCCGTCCTTTGCGCCACAAGACGCATTACCTTTCTACGAGTTGGATGTCTGCACTGCTAGCAAACAAGAGCACATTATCGCCGCGGTCAGTACATTGTCTATGCTACATAGTATTTGATACTTATTTAAAATCTGTTATTTTCCGGCAAGTTCGACTGGAGCATTGCTACCAAGTAAAAATAGATTTTGCAAGAAAACTTCTATGACAAGCGGACAAACGCCAAGCTGATTCCTGGTGTTCCAGGCATAACATTATATAGCATTTTACAAACGGTATAAAAAAAATAGTTTCGCGATGAGAGCCCTGGGGCACATCTGACGGCACTCATCTTGGAGCTGTACAGTGCAAATTCCGGTGTAGTCGTTTTTGTACTAGTAACCCATGGTCTACATTAAATGCTTTGGAAAAATCATTGTAAATGGCATGAACCTCATGTCCGTTAGTAAAAGCTTCTGAAATGTCATATACAAAATCGATAAGATTTGATGTTGTTGACATTTTTTAGGTAGAATTATTTTTTGCGTTGCTGATTCAAATAAATTACCAATAGCCGATAAAATAGAGGTTTAAAGACTTTTTAATTTCTTTCACACGTAAAATTAACTCTTTAAGGGTTGATCTCTTTCATATCAAACCAAGTGAATTAAGGCGTATAATGAACTTAATATCTTTGGCTTTAAACCAGTCTTGAGTCTTTCATATTAAGTGGTAGTGTCGTTTTTTCCTTTTATATCATGAATAAAAAAGGATCATGCCCATACGTGGAAACCATGCGACTATCGATTATCCATGTCGTGTTTATGTACTAGTATTGTTTTAATTATTGTAAGCTGTATTTTTCTGTAATTAATAAATAATGAGGGTATCCACGACTTTTTCTGCCACCAGGGCGGCGCCACTAGAAAGTGAGGTATAATATTTGACAGATTTCATAGTGGGGAAGTTAATTTGTTCGGAAAATGTAAATCTTATTGTTTATTTTTGTACTATTAGCTATATTTTATATTAATAACATTAAAAATAAATAAACCAAACCACAGATATTCATAAAAGTGGAAAAAAAATTGATACTGACGCATTGTTTTGTGTATTAATATAATACTCTAGAAACTGATAAACTTTTATTAAAAAAAAACTTTTCAATTAAATTACATTGTTTAAAAAAAACTATACCTCAGTGTCAACCAGTGACATCTGGTGAGCAAAAAATTATTAGCTTTCATTGGAGTAAGATGTATCGGGGAAGTAAAGTGTTAAGTGAGAGTGAGCGACCATGCAACAGAACCTGCGCGCGGTGAGCGTGCACGTGATGCGCGAGCGCGGGGAGGCGGGCGGTGCGGGTGGTGCGGGTGGGGCGGGCGGGGCGGAGGGCGGCGTGCACGCGCTGGGCACGCGCTGGGCGGCCGCGCAACTGGAGGCGGCGCGCTCGCTGTGCCGCGCCGCCTCGCGCGCCGCCGCCGTGCCCGCCTCGCACCAGCGCGGCTTCGCACTCGTGTACGCAGCGCCCGCTACTCACTTTTGTTGTTTCTTTCTTGTTTTTTTTTTTTTGTTGTTATCATTTTCGTGCCAGTTCATTTGGAGTGTGTATATGTGGGATGTTTTATTTTTGTAACGTTGGTTTTAATTTTTATTTTGTGTTTCATGCCAGACATTCCTTTTTATTGAATTGGTTAATTTTTGAACTGATTATTTTTTGTTTGAAACTTGGTTTCGCTACAGCGATTTTATAATTTGTATTCGTTCTATTAGATAACGCTTGATTTGCTATAATTATTTTATTGCTATTTTCATTATACAAAAGTTTCGAGACTAAGGTAAGTTGTTCATTGGCAGTGCTTCAGTTTTGTGTGCTGTTTGGTTTGTTTTAATTCTGCGTTCTAAAGGTATAGTATGTACGTTAGAGATTGCAGCATCAATAATTATTAATATGAATTTAGTAGTTTATATCTTTAAAAATCACTACTTTTAATTTCTTACTTTTGTTTCAAAAACTGCGACTTGCTTTTTCAGTTATATTAGAATTACATATATAATTTTAAAATAAGATTTCTTTACTGTGAGAAACTATACCGCCATTTTCTTTTATCCCCATACAATTTAAAAAAAAGTTTTATTTTGACAGCTCGTAAATTTTATAATCAGGGTTGTTGAACATGTAAAAGAAAAGAAATCCGTAGTATCAGCATTGATTGATGCTGATTATTGATGCTGAAGTTCGTTGTTGAAACCAAATAATAGGTCTCTACCTATAAAATTTCCATTCTGCAGTAGGTGCTGGCCATTTCAAATTCAAATAATTCTTCTTTGGCTAATAATTCTAATTTAAAATTAATTTTGTTTTAAGAACATGAAATTCTTTTTTAAAATTAGTCATTTGTTTATCGATTCGAGTTATGTTTTTATCGCATTTGAATCTCCTTCGTTATCATGGATACGTTAAAAATACGAATAATTTTGAAATATGTGTACCATTTTGGCAGCAACGCGGCACCAGCGGCGCGCAACATCAACAACGTTTACAGAGCAAATAGTGGTCGTCCGGAAACTTTGGTCGACAATGACGAATAAAAAGCGATTGTGGAAGCAAATGAACTCAATCTACAGCTGAATTAGCAACAGCTTTCGACGTTAGCATCAAAATAATATTGGTCCATTTGCGTCAATTTGGCAAAGTAAAAAAGCTTGACAAATAAGTGCCCCACGAACTCAATGATGGCCAGAGCGAAGTATGCGTCGAGACGTGCCTTGCACTGCTCAACAGGCACACAAACGAAGGAATTTTGAACTGCATTGTTATCTGCGACGAAAAATGGAATCTGTTTGACAATCACAAGTACACAGCAAGTTGGTTAGATCCTGGTCCAGCACCTAAACAATGCCCCAAACGAAAACTCCCCTAGAAATGTGATGTTCATTGTTTGGTGGACTAGGGCCGACGTGATTCATCACAGCTTCATACCAAACAGGATGAGCATTACTGCAGATGTGTACTGTGAAGAACTGAACACAATGATGGAGAAGCTTGCACGCCTCCAACTAACTTTGGTCAATGGCTCGTCCCCGCAGCTCTTGCACGAGAACACGCAACCCCATACTGCATAACAGACGCTCTCGAAGTTTCAAGAGCTGGGGTTGGAAGCTCTCCGTCATTCGCCGTACTCATCAGACCTTGCGCCTACAGACTTCTACTTTTTCCAGAATTTGGATAACTTTTTAACGGGAAAAGTTCAATACCCGATAGGCAGTACAAAATGCCTTTGAAGACTTTATTGCAGGGCTCGGAAACCGGTTTAAATTCCTAACCGGTTTTGGGGTCAATGACCGAAACCGGTTAGGAATTTAAACCGGTTTGTGAAAAACCGGTATTTGCGGAATACCGGTTATTCACAAATTTAGGTTTAGGTAGTAAGAATTAACCGGTTAAAACCAAGTTTTGTAATGTCCCCTCTCTCCCTTACCCCGCTTGCACCCATCTTTGTACGGCTGCCTTCTGTTTAATTCACGAGGTTTTTAGACACACGGACGATATATTCATAGCATCAACGCGACTGCCTTGTAACATACTCCCTCATATTTTTTCATCTTTCAGCAACGATCGTATTATAAATAACAGATGTAAGTTCTGTTTCAATTAATTATGCGTTATCTTCACTTTAAAATTAAGTTTCGATATCTAGTTTAATTTGACGTTATATATTTAAATTGACTTTAATTATAGTTAACGTTTTCTATTAAAATTACGCTTTGCATCTTTAATTTAATGTCATTAGATTTAGTAACAAATAAAATAAAAATAAAAAATCCTTTTATTTCTTGCAAAAGTAACAAAATAAATAAACTAAGCTTAGGATAAAAATAAATATCTAATCTGCAAGACCCCTTCCGCAGGTGAAGGCCTCCTCTAAAGAGTCCCAATTCTGTTAAATGGGGAGGAGTTAAGTCGTGTAGATACCACTGTTTTTCTCGGTATTACTTTTGACGCGAAACTTCAATATATCTAAATTAGCAAGAAGACTTAGTTCTGCAGCATATGCTGTAAGAAAGATTAGAAGTCTCACAGTTATTTTCATAGCGTAATGTCTTATGGAATTTTGCTATGGGGTAATGCGACTGATATTGAAGCTATATTTGTTTTGCAAAAGATAGCCGTTCGGGTGATTTATAACCTAAATTGTAAAGTGTCCCTCAGACAAAAATTTAAAGAAATAAACATATTAACTTTGGCATCGCAATATATTTATGAAAATTTAATGTATGTACATAAAAACATAAATAGCTTTAATGAGAATAAGAATGTGCATACTTTAAACACTAGGAACAAACATAAGCTTGTAATACCAGTTACACAGAATTAGTAATTCATTTATGGGGCAATGTATACGCTTTTACAACAAAATCCCAGAACATATTCAAAGTTTGTCAATAAACAAGTTTAAAAGGTATATTAAAGAAAGACTGTACAAAAAGGGTTATTATAATATCAAGGAATACATGAATGAAAATAAACCCTGGGAATAAGGTGATCGCCACCATGCTGGTTCTATGATAAATCATTTAAAAATTGTATAAACGAAATTATTGTGAAGTGAAATATGTTTGAAAAAAAAGTCCCGCTGGGTTTCTTGCTTGTTCTTCCCAGGACAGAGGTATTTTCCGAACCAGTGGTAGATAAAAAATTACTTTCAATAAGAATTATGTAATAATCAATATTGAATAAAAAATTATTCTATTCTATTCTATTCTATTCTCTATCTTGGGCTTTTTGCATCCAGCTTGGACCGACCGTTTTGCTTATATCATCCGCACATCTGGTAAGCGGTCTCCCTCTGTAGCGTTTTCCTCTTGGACCTCTCCACCGTGTCACACTTATGGCCCATCGCTTGTCTGAGAGTCTCGCTACATGCCCTGCCCACTTCCATTTCAGGGTTTTGGCATAGCTTAGAGCATCAGTAGCTTTAGATATGCTTCTTAGTTTAGTGTGTTTTATTTTTTGGATTTTCCTAATTTTAAGCATGCTTCGTTCTAGGCTCCGTTAACACGTGGTAATTTTTTTTTTCTGTGTATTTCAAAGTCTGACAAGCAAAAGTTAGGCACGGTAAAGTTTTAGTAATATATCACAATAAATGATGAACTTTCTTAACAGAACACGATATTTTGAAAAGTTTATGAAGTTGTATGTAGGCAGATTACCAGGTTTTTTTTAAATTCAGATGTTCGTGATTCCTCAATCTTTATCTCCGTCTTTGCAAAAATTAATAATGACCACTTCTGAGGTGTACAGTTTAACTAGAAGTCATGTCTAAACACGATAAAAAATTGTTTGTTATGTTGAGAGAATTCTAACAAAAGAAATTACCATTTTTCACAACTCATTAATGAGGAATTGGAGCAAATATTATCATGTTGTATACGTACAAGATGCTACTAAAATATTAGCTTTTCTAAATAGAGTGCTAGGTAACCACCACATAGATAAAATTAAATTTACTGATACTGAAATTAATAAAGAAAAATAATTTGAATCTAACAAATTATTATGATTAAATTCGTACTAACGTAACTAAATACATACACTAAAAATCCTGTGTTTTATTTAAAGTAATTATTAATAACTCTCAATTAACTAGATCATCAGTATAAATCACACTGATATCTACGATCTTTTTTGAATTATAAAACGCCTCAGGATCAAAATAATATAGTAATCACTTTTGAATTTTTACAAACTTTCATACTTTACGAATATGAAAGTATTCAAATAAATAAAATTTAAGTGTCTATTCGTAACGTCAAAATAACAGATTTTTACTAAATACATACTATGAAAGTTAAAAAATTAAATTTTGTCTGTCTGTATGTCTGTTTGTTCCGGCTGATCCCCGAAATGGCTGGACCGATTGGTGTGGTTACTAGCGCGACTGTGCATCATGATTTGGTTCTGGGTTTGAATCCCGGGTCATGCCAAGTACCGTTATTGGATTAATTTGGGTGTATGAGTGCTCTAGAAACCACCTTGACAATCGTATTACAGCCCTCAATCAAGCACTTAGATTTTTGGGTTTTCTCGTAGTACGTTTTCTTATAGAAAAGGGAGCAAACGAGCATGCGGCTCACCTGATGGTAAGTGACTACTGCCGCCCATGAACAACCGCATCAACAGGTGCAGGTGCGTTGCCGGCCTTTTAGAAAGGAGTAATTTCTTTTCTTGAATGTCCCAAATATCGGTCCGGAAAAATCGCCGGTGGTAAACATATCCACAGAGAAGTTGTACGAGGAAGAAAACTCCTAGTAAAACGCACAGTGGTGGTGTCGAGCATCCAGATGGTGAGGATGGCTGAGACTAAACCGAATCTCAGAGCACTCACTGAGGTAGATGCGATAGAAAATGCAAAGTGATGCAACATCCCTACGCAGTGCTAGTCAATTGAGCCGATCTGAAAGAATTCGGACATCAACGACTCGAACTGCTCTGCACTGGATGCGGTCAAGTGGAAGGAGCTGACACTGGCGTGCCCCGGCCCAGAGATGAGTGGCCGAATTTGCGCTTTGTAAAGTTGCAAGCGATGTGCCGACATGAAATACTGCCCCGCTCTGCTGAGAACGTCAAGCTTTGTAGAGGCCGATTTGGCCTTCCCTTCCAAGTGACCACAAAACTGCACACTATTCGATATGTCGACGCCGAGGATTTCGATGCTAGTTGAGACAGCAAGGGGCTTGAAACGGAGGAGATACGGAAAAAGGGGTGCTTTTTAGCGACTACTGGACTAGATTCAGCCGCCCTCGATCCGAGACTTTGTTCAGCAAAGACTCGACTTCAGACATAAGTTTGTTCCGGTACTCGGAGACGTTTTCCTGAGAAATATTGGCACGGTCGGTGTATATTGCATCACCAGTGCTGTCATTGTTACCAGTTTTGCAACATATCATTGATATACAGTAGAAACAGCGTTGGTGATAGCACGCAGCTTTGTGGAACACCAGCATTAATAGGCTTGTAATCAGAGCATGCATCGTCTACTACGACCTTGATGCTCCGATCAGCAAGGAAACTGGTAGTGCAATTGCACAATTTCTCGGGAGGTCTATAGGAAGGGAGTTTCGAAAGAAGCGCTTTGTGCCAGATCCGATTGAAGGCCTTCGCTATGACCAAACTAACGGCCAATGCCTACCCCTTCGACTCTACTACCTTCGCCCATCTATGAGTTAGATAGACCAGAAGAGCATCAGCTGATCAAGAGAACAAGGAGGTGATGGCGATAGGCCTGTAGTTTGACGAGTCTGAGCGATCACCGTTTTTAGGGATCGGGTAAACCAAAGCTGTCTTTCATGAATTTGGGATAACGCCTTAGGAGTAGAAGTACCGGAAGAGACGCGTTGAAACCGGTGCTAACTTTGGAGCACACGTCTTCAGCACAATGGGAGGGACACCATCAGGCCCACTCGACTTGTTGACGACTAGGGAGAGGAGTGCTTTGCGAACCGAGCGCTGTGTAAACCGCACATCTGGCATGGATCACTCAAACCGCGGGATGGTCGGTGGTGTGTTCCTCTCTCATCAAGAGTCGAGTTGGACGTAAAAATAGAGATTAACAGATCGGCTTTCTCCTTTGCGGCATTGACTCAGTGAGTCACCCTCTCTATGCAGAGATTGCTGACAGAAGTTCATTTTGACAGCCTTGGAAAGAGACCAGAATGCACGGGTTACCGAAGAAAGGCAAACTAGCTTCTTTTGAAGAGCGCTGGTGTTTACATCCCGAAACATCAACGTCTCAGGATGTAAGGATGTCGTCAGCCCGGGCCTAGTAGCACTCTTGCTTATAGTGTGATGCTATTTTACATGAGCGACCAAACCATGGCTGGAACCTGCCTCCGATGGGCTCCACTGAAGATGGAATAAAAGTTCCATATCCTGAAGTACCACATCAGCGACAGAATCAGTAACATTTTTGGGATTGTCCAGCGAGAAGAAAATCCGGGGAAAATCTCAAGGGTAGAATGCAAATAAAGACCGCATCCTTTTCCAATCGGCCGACCTATAGTGCCAAACACGGCGGCAGCCTGCAGAATGCAACCTCGATGATAGTGTGAGTGACACCACCCTCCGGACAAGACAATAGCCCTAGGAGCCATGAGGGGTGTCGATGGAAACCTGATATCCGTCCGGATGAGAGGTCAGCAGAAGTTCCAACAGGGAAGGTGCATGTTCCTCCACATCTGGAATCCGTGCAAAGTAACCAATTGTGTAAGACCATATGCCAAGGTATAGTCATAAACAAATTTCCGTACATGATCAGTTAAATTTGATCCGAGCCATTCGGCGTGATTGTCGTTAAAATCGTCAAGGATGACGATCGAGTTCGAGTTGGCCCGTCCATGCGACAGCAAAAGCTGCCGCGTACTTCTACCACTGTTAAAACGTAAACATGGAATAAATTCCATTTACTTTTTTTCTGCTCATCTATACAAATAAATAAAATTGAAGTGTCTGTTTGTAATGTCAGTGAAAGTATATACGGTACTTATAACAAACACACGATTTTTAAATTTTTTGTCTGTCTGTCTTTCTGTCTGTCTGTTTGTTCCGGCTAATCTCCGAAACGGCTGGACCGATTTTGACCTGACTTTCACTGGTAGATAGCTGATGTTATAAGAAGTAACTTAGGCTACTTTTATTTTAGAAAAGGAATTAGGATTCCGCGAAAAAATTAAAACCCATGAAATCCAATCGTAATAAATGACTCGCGGGCGAAGTCGCGGGGAACAGCTAGTCATAAATAAACAATCGATACACAAGAATAAATTATTTTCTTCGTTATGAGACAAGTCCAGTCTTAACGAATAAACCAAACACAATAACTGCCTTTTTTTCTTCAAAACTTCTCTAATACTTTCACGTTTTTCGTAAACGCCAACTCCCACTAGACACCCTGATCGCGACTGAAAAACGTATCGCTAAGTAGATAATTGATGATAAGTATGCCCACATGCGGCGATGCCGCACCTCACAACGTAAATCTACCTGTCCTATTCATAACTGCCTTTACGTTTTACGGAATTAACCGGTTAATTTGGGTGTCAAAACCGTTAAGTAACCGGTAACCTTTATCGTTTAGGTTTAATAAAAACCGGTTAATTTTTTAACCGGTTATTGAAGGAGCGATAAATTTACCGGTAATTAATCGAAATTAACCGCTCTTTTTAAACCGGTTCCGAGCCCTGCTTTATTGCCCTCCGTCCAGCTGATTTCTTTAAGAAGGGCATCAATAAACTGCCACTGTATTAGCAAAGATGCATCGATTGCATGGGTGATTAGTATGATTAATAGAAATAAAAAATATAAAAAAAACTTAACTTATTTAATAGAAAACGGCAATCTAATAGGTAAAGACCTAATATTAAAGAAAAACTTATTGTGTCACAAAACCCCCTTAATTGGCGGAAAATAAATATATATAATTATAACCTTTCAAAAGGCTTTCCAAAATTGACTCTATAATTTTTGTCACCCCCACCGGGGAGAGTTATTGAGAATTGTTGTGATAAATTACAAACATTCTCGGAACAGATTTGAAGCAGAAAAGGCAACACAGCTTCTATTTTCAAAAACAACCTAAAAATTACCTTTGATAAAATACTAAAGAAATGTTTCGCACTAGGTAGTTAATAACTAATCTAGTATCAATCAAATATTATTACTAAACTAATATAAGATTGATTCTTTCGTTTATATCACAAAATTATTTAAACATTATCTTTTATTTTAAAATCAAGGATATAATTACTATTTTTGAATATAAATTTGGTAATATTCTATTTATTTTTAAGAAAATTGTTAAAATTAGTTTCACCTTCAACATCAGCTGATATCAAAAACGTGCATCAGCAACAAGATTAATTAATAAAAAATTAAAAACAGAATTAAATAATAACAAATTAAATTTAAATTCTAATAACACCTTTAAAATTTTCTATTTACGCAAATGGGATACATAGCACAGATTCCACACGGTTTCGTTAGATAACAACTAAAATATTTTCAATCGCAGAGATGAGATGGACCCCACGCACGCGCTGATCCTGTTTAAGATCCTGGAGCAGTACTACCTGGCGACGGAGTCGATCGCGTTCCCGCTGCCGCAGGGTTTCAGCTCGTTCTTTACATACCTTGGATACCGCACTTTACCGTTTCACGCCTTCGTGCAGTACGTGCACCGGAACATCTTTGAACTGCAGATCGACGTGCTCAAGGCGATCATAACAGGTAAGCGCATCATCTCTTTTAAATATCTCTCGAGGTTTCTTATGTAAATAATCATTTTGAATTTCGTTACCATTACCCACGCTTGGCAAGCGAGTTATTAGGAAGACGCTGCTTCTCATCTCTTGATTTGTGTCCCTCTGTCGCCTCTTACGACACCCACGTGATGATATGGGGCGATGGATATTCTTAGCACTACTCGGTTTAATTATAGCACATTAAGTTGTAGTGTTGATGTAGTCCACACGACAAAATATTATATATTGATGTATTATTAAATTTAGAGTAAGTAAGAGCAGTCCAATTAAAGACTTAGACGGAGCAACACGTCCCTCATCACGACGCCTTTCCAACATTGCAAAGTGTACAATTGGTGAACATAACGCCTTTAGGCATTCTCTACCACTTTACCTATTTATTAATCTTAATTCGTATCTAATGTAAAAAAGTTTGTATGAATTGTTGTAGAGGGTTAAGTTTAACAATTTAATATGGCAGTCTGTTAAGTAAAGGGTCAATTTGACAATTTACCTGAAGTGAATGGTTTTATGGTAGCTCAATATTTCTTAAAATATAGTGGCCATGGCAGCCGAAATGCACGGAATAATAATGCAAAGGTAAGCATTGACTACATGAAGAAGTAGACGGTTCGTTAGGAATATTACATGTCATGTCGTACCTAAATCAGGGCTGTTGCAACAGAGTTAACTAAGGGCCGCATTAGTAGAAAAGTTTAGTAAAAACTAAACTTGTGCAAAGTGACGCAATCTCTCTTATATCTTCATTCAGAATTTCCGAAATAATATATGCTTTTTTAAGTTGTTCTACAACGGACTGTACAAATTTTCATTTAACTGCTTTTGACAAGCAAACTTGTGTGTACGAGGAAACTTAAGAAAGTGCCTCACAGCACTTTCTTTAGTTTCCTCGCACTCATTTATACTTGACATAAACATACCATGCCATTTTCAATTCACGGTAGATTTGTTATTGTATGAATGATATTTTATATTTTTAGACCCATGTTTATTCGAAATAGTTGTTCAGGTTCTAAGCATAACTTCACACACATTCTTTAAATGCGGGTCCCAAGTTTGGTAGTATTTTCAGTGCTATACTTACAACCTTTTTTTGTTGCAATTTTTATGAATATGTTACAAATAATGCGGCCTACTAGCTGTAGGTTAAACAGCTTTGCATTTTATGTAAAAAATGTATATAAAAAAATTTTTGACAGGTGAGTCATATTAGTTACCTATATATATTTATACTGAATGCACTCTTATGGACACGCCGATGGCAATGTCATACGAAATGTGAAATCTAACTAATCTCGATACGAGTACCTAGTCTGTCTGTCCGGCCGCCCAAATTTTGATGATTATATTTTTTAAGATAGGAAAAGAATACAAACACATTTTTTTATCTTCTCTAGTTTTGTTACAAACAGGAATACTACCTACGAATAATAAAAAAACCGTAATTTAGCAATTGTTTATTGTCAATGAAATAGCATATTTATTATATTTGTTTAAAAATTGTCGTTTTCACACTTTAATATTAAATTTTGGACGATGATGAATTCAGATGCTAATTTAGATCACGATATTAAGATCATTTTTATTTCAGCAACGCTAATAAAATTAATTTATTTATTTATTGGGTATCATCACCCTATAATTTCGTATATTTTCATAGACATCCAGTATTTGCACATTTTCATTAATATGTTAGTGAACAAACAGGACTGCGATAAAATTTTATCGATAACTTTGATATCGGCGCAGTCACAACACTATTGTAGCAATTTTAATTCAAAATGTATTAACATGAACCTTAGACTAACGAAATAAGGTTGAATATTACTTGTAATAAAGTCAATTTGATATTTTGTTCATGTTTAGTGTCGTATCTATGCAAAAAAAAAAGAAAAATTATACCTGAATTTGATACGAAACACCCATTCGCAATATTTTTCTTTTTGCTTTCGTTTTTTACGCTCCAATATTGTAAATACGGCATATATCACTTAAGCTGCGACCCGTTAGCTCGCGACAATTTGAACCTACGGCTGACAGTCAATTACGTCCCTAATTGTGACATGCTTGCCCTGTCCACTTTGGGCTTCCTCTTCTTTTTATATTCCGTGGATGTTACCATTGGTCAATTAAGTTAGGCAAAGATCTTACATCATACAGCCTTGTCTGATGTGTATTTTATTCACTTAATTCTTTATAATATGTTCAGGCGTCACATTGTGACGTTCTCGGGAGGTTTCGACGAAAGCTTGAACCAGCGGACAGTTGCTAACGATAGATCTCAAGTCGTCTAAGCGGATAAAAACCTTGAAATTTATATTACCGTTGGAGTACTTGTTTTTCTATTAATAGTTCATATGCGCAGTAATTTTACAAGCATAATTGCATCATTTTTACGTATTTAATTCCACTTTAAAGTTTTAAATAAACGATAATACAGGAGTAAGTATCTGGCGATTAAGTTCACGTCCAAATCTCCTCTAATGATCAATCGTCAGTAGTCTATCGTCAGTGTTACTATGATACTAGTATGATACTGATTCTTATTTATTAAGGATACGTTCCTAATCGTTGCTGCTGCAAAATGTGTGTTGATTATTTCTTATAATCGATTAGCGGAACTGCGACAGAAAGTCGTATCGGCAGATTGACGATCATAATGTGTATCTGAGCGATAAAGTACGTACACAAGAAACGGTTCGTGTGCAGGTAAAGACGACGAGGATAAGCGTGTGGTGAACAACAAGCTGCGGCTGGTGCAGCTGGCGGGCGAGGCGCGCGGCAAGCGGGCGCTGTGCGCGTGGCAACACCGCGCCGCGCTGCAGCTGCGCGCGCGCGAGCACGCCGCCGCGCTGCTCAGTGGCGGCCCGCCCACGCACGAGCGCGCGCGCCACCGCCCCGCGCGCGAGCCCGGTCAGTACACGCGCGCTGCTCAGTGCTCAGTGGCGGCCCGCCCACGCACGAGCGCGCGCGCCACCGCCCCGCGCGCGAGCCCGGTCAGTACACGCGCGCTGCTCAGTGCTCAGTGGCGGCCCGCCCACGCACGAGCGCGCGCGCCACCGCCCCGCGCGCGAGCCCGGTCAGTACACGCGCGCTGCTCAGTGCTCAGTGGCGGCCCGCCCACGCACGAGCGCGCGCGCCACCGCCCCGCGCGCGAGCCCGGTCAGTACACGCGCGCTGCTCAGTGCTCAGTGCTCAGTGGCGGCCCGCCCACGCACGAGCGCGCGCGCCACCGCCCCGCGCGCGAGCCCGGTCAGTACACGCGCGCTGCTCAGTGCTCAGTGCTCAGTGGCGGCCCGCCCACGCACGAGCGCGCGCGCCACCGCCCCGCGCGCGAGCCCGGTCAGTACACGCGCGCTGCTCAGTGCTCAGTGCTCAGTGGCGGCCCGCCCACGCACGAGCGCGCGCGCCACCGCCCCGCGCGCGAGCCCGGTCAGTACACGCGCGCTGCTCAGTGCTCAGTGGCGGCCCGCCCACGCACGAGCGCGCGCGCCACCGCCCCGCGCGCGAGCCCGGTCAGTACACGCGCGCTGCTCAGTGCTCAGTGGCGGCCCGCCCACGCACGAGCGCGCGCGCCACCGCCCCGCGCGCGAGCCCGGTCAGTACACGCGCGCTGCTCAGTGCTCAGTGGCGGCCCGCCCACGCACGAGCGCGCGCGCCACCGCCCCGCGCGCGAGCCCGGTCAGTACACGCGCGCTGCTCAGTGCTCAGTGGCGGCCCGCCCACGCACGAGCGCGCGCGCCACCGCCCCGCGCGCGAGCCCGGTCAGTACACGCGCGCTGCTCAGTGCTCAGTGGCGGCCCGCCCACGCACGAGCGCGCGCGCCACCGCCCCGCGCGCGAGCCCGGTCAGTACACGCGCGCTGCTCAGTGCTCAGTGGCGGCCCGCCCACGCACGAGCGCGCGCGCCACCGCCCCGCGCGCGAGCCCGGTCAGTACACGCGCGCTGCTCAGTGCTCAGTGCTCAGTGGCGGCCCGCCCACGCACGAGCGCGCGCGCCACCGCCCCGCGCGCGAGCCCGGTCAGTACACGCGCGCTGCTCAGTGCTCAGTGCTCAGTGGCGGCCCGCCCACGCACGAGCGCGCGCGCCACCGCCCCGCGCGCGAGCCCGGTCAGTACACGCGCGCTGCTCAGTGCTCAGTGGCGGCCCGCCCACGCACGAGCGCGCGCGCCACCGCCCCGCGCGCGAGCCCGGTCAGTACACGCGCGCTGCTCAGTGCTCAGTGCTCAGTGGCGGCCCGCCCACGCACGAGCGCGCGCGCCACCGCCCCGCGCGCGAGCCCGGTCAGTACACGCGCGCTGCTCAGTGCTCAGTGGCGGCCCGCCCACGCACGAGCGCGCGCGCCACCGCCCCGCGCGCGAGCCCGGTCAGTACACGCGCGCTGCTCAGTGCTCAGTGCTCAGTGGCGGCCCGCCCACGCACGAGCGCGCGCGCCACCGCCCCGCGCGCGAGCCCGGTCAGTACACGCGCGCTGCTCAGTGCTCAGTGCTCAGTGGCGGCCCGCCCACGCACGAGCGCGCGCGCCACCGCCCCGCGCGCGAGCCCGGTCAGTACACGCGCGCTGCTCAGTGCTCAGTGCTCAGTGGCGGCCCGCCCACGCACGAGCGCGCGCGCCACCGCCCCGCGCGCGAGCCCGGTCAGTACACGCGCGCTGCTCAGTGCTCAGTGGCGGCCCGCCCACGCACGAGCGCGCGCGCCACCGCCCCGCGCGCGAGCCCGGTCAGTACACGCGCGCTGCTCAGTGCTCAGTGGCGGCCCGCCCACGCACGAGCGCGCGCGCCACCGCCCCGCGCGCGAGCCCGGTCAGTACACGCGCGCTGCTCAGTGCTCAGTGGCGGCCCGCCCACGCACGAGCGCGCGCGCCACCGCCCCGCGCGCGAGCCCGGTCAGTACACGCGCGCTGCTCAGTGCTCAGTGGCGGCCCGCCCACGCACGAGCGCGCGCGCCACCGCCCCGCGCGCGAGCCCGGTCAGTACACGCGCGCTGCTCAGTGCTCAGTGGCGGCCCGCCCACGCACGAGCGCGCGCGCCACCGCCCCGCGCGCGAGCCCGGTCAGTACACGCGCGCTGCTCAGTGCTCAGTGGCGGCCCGCCCACGCACGAGCGCGCGCGCCACCGCCCCGCGCGCGAGCCCGGTCAGTACACGCGCGCTGCTCAGTGCTCAGTGCTCAGTGGCGGCCCGCCCACGCACGAGCGCGCGCGCCACCGCCCCGCGCGCGAGCCCGGTCAGTACACGCGCGCTGCTCAGTGCTCAGTGCTCAGTGGCGGCCCGCCCACGCACGAGCGCGCGCGCCACCGCCCCGCGCGCGAGCCCGGTCAGTACACGCGCGCTGCTCAGTGCTCAGTGGCGGCCCGCCCACGCACGAGCGCGCGCGCCACCGCCCCGCGCGCGAGCCCGGTCAGTACACGCGCGCTGCTCAGTGCTCAGTGGCGGCCCGCCCACGCACGAGCGCGCGCGCCACCGCCCCGCGCGCGAGCCCGGTCAGTACACGCGCGCTGCTCAGTGCTCAGTGCTCAGTGGCGGCCCGCCCACGCACGAGCGCGCGCGCCACCGCCCCGCGCGCGAGCCCGGTCAGTACACGCGCGCTGCTCAGTGCTCAGTGGCGGCCCGCCCACGCACGAGCGCGCGCGCCACCGCCCCGCGCGCGAGCCCGGTCAGTACACGCGCGCTGCTCAGTGCTCAGTGCTCAGTGGCGGCCCGCCCACGCACGAGCGCGCGCGCCACCGCCCCGCGCGCGAGCCCGGTCAGTACACGCGCGCTGCTCAGTGCTCAGTGCTCAGTGGCGGCCCGCCCACGCACGAGCGCGCGCGCCACCGCCCCGCGCGCGAGCCCGGTCAGTACACGCGCGCTGCTCAGTGCTCAGTGCTCAGTGGCGGCCCGCCCACGCACGAGCGCGCGCGCCACCGCCCCGCGCGCGAGCCCGGTCAGTACACGCGCGCTGCTCAGTGCTCAGTGCTCAGTGGCGGCCCGCCCACGCACGAGCGCGCGCGCCACCGCCCCGCGCGCGAGCCCGGTCAGTACACGCGCGCTGCTCAGTGCTCAGTGCTCAGTGGCGGCCCGCCCACGCACGAGCGCGCGCGCCACCGCCCCGCGCGCGAGCCCGGTCAGTACACGCGCGCTGCTCAGTGCTCAGTGCTCAGTGGCGGCCCGCCCACGCACGAGCGCGCGCGCCACCGCCCCGCGCGCGAGCCCGGTCAGTACACGCGCGCTGCTCAGTGCTCAGTGCTCAGTGGCGGCCCGCCCACGCACGAGCGCGCGCGCCACCGCCCCGCGCGCGAGCCCGGTCAGTACACGCGCGCTGCTCAGTGCTCAGTGGCGGCCCGCCCACGCACGAGCGCGCGCGCCACCGCCCCGCGCGCGAGCCCGGTCAGTACACGCGCGCTGCTCAGTGCTCAGTGGCGGCCCGCCCACGCACGAGCGCGCGCGCCACCGCCCCGCGCGCGAGCCCGGTCAGTACACGCGCGCTGCTCAGTGCTCAGTGGCGGCCCGCCCACGCACGAGCGCGCGCGCCACCGCCCCGCGCGCGAGCCCGGTCAGTACACGCGCGCTGCTCAGTGCTCAGTGCTCAGTGGCGGCCCGCCCACGCACGAGCGCGCGCGCCACCGCCCCGCGCGCGAGCCCGGTCAGTACACGCGCGCTGCTCAGTGCTCAGTGCTCAGTGGCGGCCCGCCCACGCACGAGCGCGCGCGCCACCGCCCCGCGCGCGAGCCCGGTCAGTACACGCGCGCTGCTCAGTGCTCAGTGCTCAGTGGCGGCCCGCCCACGCACGAGCGCGCGCGCCACCGCCCCGCGCGCGAGCCCGGTCAGTACACGCGCGCTGCTCAGTGCTCAGTGGCGGCCCGCCCACGCACGAGCGCGCGCGCCACCGCCCCGCGCGCGAGCCCGGTCAGTACACGCGCGCTGCTCAGTGCTCAGTGCTCAGTGGCGGCCCGCCCACGCACGAGCGCGCGCGCCACCGCCCCGCGCGCGAGCCCGGTCAGTACACGCGCGCTGCTCAGTGCTCAGTGCTCAGTGGCGGCCCGCCCACGCACGAGCGCGCGCGCCACCGCCCCGCGCGCGAGCCCGGTCAGTACACGCGCGCTGCTCAGTGCTCAGTGCTCAGTGGCGGCCCGCCCACGCACGAGCGCGCGCGCCACCGCCCCGCGCGCGAGCCCGGTCAGTACACGCGCGCTGCTCAGTGCTCAGTGCTCAGTGGCGGCCCGCCCACGCACGAGCGCGCGCGCCACCGCCCCGCGCGCGAGCCCGGTCAGTACACGCGCGCTGCTCAGTGCTCAGTGCTCAGTGGCGGCCCGCCCACGCACGAGCGCGCGCGCCACCGCCCCGCGCGCGAGCCCGGTCAGTACACGCGCGCTGCTCAGTGCTCAGTGCTCAGTGGCGGCCCGCCCACGCACGAGCGCGCGCGCCACCGCCCCGCGCGCGAGCCCGGTCAGTACACGCGCGCTGCTCAGTGCTCAGTGCTCAGTGGCGGCCCGCCCACGCACGAGCGCGCGCGCCACCGCCCCGCGCGCGAGCCCGGTCAGTACACGCGCGCTGCTCAGTGCTCAGTGCTCAGTGGCGGCCCGCCCACGCACGAGCGCGCGCGCCACCGCCCCGCGCGCGAGCCCGGTCAGTACACGCGCGCTGCTCAGTGCTCAGTGCTCAGTGGCGGCCCGCCCACGCACGAGCGCGCGCGCCACCGCCCCGCGCGCGAGCCCGGTCAGTACACGCGCGCTGCTCAGTGCTCAGTGGCGGCCCGCCCACGCACGAGCGCGCGCGCCACCGCCCCGCGCGCGAGCCCGGTCAGTACACGCGCGCTGCTCAGTGCTCAGTGCTCAGTGGCGGCCCGCCCACGCACGAGCGCGCGCGCCACCGCCCCGCGCGCGAGCCCGGTCAGTACACGCGCGCTGCTCAGTGCTCAGTGCTCAGTGGCGGCCCGCCCACGCACGAGCGCGCGCGCCACCGCCCCGCGCGCGAGCCCGGTCAGTACACGCGCGCTGCTCAGTGCTCAGTGCTCAGTGGCGGCCCGCCCACGCACGAGCGCGCGCGCCACCGCCCCGCGCGCGAGCCCGGTCAGTACACGCGCGCTGCTCAGTGCTCAGTGCTCAGTGGCGGCCCGCCCACGCACGAGCGCGCGCGCCACCGCCCCGCGCGCGAGCCCGGTCAGTACACGCGCGCTGCTCAGTGCTCAGTGCTCAGTGGCGGCCCGCCCACGCACGAGCGCGCGCGCCACCGCCCCGCGCGCGAGCCCGGTCAGTACACGCGCGCTGCTCAGTGCTCAGTGCTCAGTGGCGGCCCGCCCACGCACGAGCGCGCGCGCCACCGCCCCGCGCGCGAGCCCGGTCAGTACACGCGCGCTGCTCAGTGCTCAGTGCTCAGTGGCGGCCCGCCCACGCACGAGCGCGCGCGCCACCGCCCCGCGCGCGAGCCCGGTCAGTACACGCGCGCTGCTCAGTGCTCAGTGGCGGCCCGCCCACGCACGAGCGCGCGCGCCACCGCCCCGCGCGCGAGCCCGGTCAGTACACGCGCGCTGCTCAGTGCTCAGTGCTCAGTGGCGGCCCGCCCACGCACGAGCGCGCGCGCCACCGCCCCGCGCGCGAGCCCGGTCAGTACACGCGCGCTGCTCAGTGCTCAGTGCTCAGTGGCGGCCCGCCCACGCACGAGCGCGCGCGCCACCGCCCCGCGCGCGAGCCCGGTCAGTACACGCGCGCTGCTCAGTGCTCAGTGCTCAGTGGCGGCCCGCCCACGCACGAGCGCGCTCGCCACCGCCCCGCGCGCGAGCCCGGTCAGTACACGCGCGCTGCTCAGTGCTCAGTGCTCAGTGGCGGCCCGCCCACGCACGAGCGCGCGCGCCACCGCCCCGCGCGCGAGCCCGGTCAGTACACGCGAGCTGCTCAGTGCTCAGTGGCGGCCCGCCCACGCACGAGCGCGCGCGCCACCGCCCCGCGCGCGAGCCCGGTCAGTACACGCGAGCTGCTCAGTGCTCAGTGGCGGCCCGCCCACGCACGAGCGCGCGAGCCCGGTCAGTACACGCGCACTGCGCCCGCATGTGCCGCTCAGCGCTCAGCGCAGTGCTCAGTACTCAGCGGCGGCCTGAGCGCCGCAACTGAGCGGTCCGCCGACGAATTTCACCGCCCGCTAGCCTGGCCTCCATTTCAAACAAAATGTAAGATAGATGTTTGTGATGCGATATGGCCCGACACGTCCAGTATAGTAGACTTCTACTACAATATGCAGCCTATTATAGTCGATCGCAGTGCCAGATGTCTTACACCTCTAACGCTTCCCATTCACATATCTGTGTGTTTACATCTGTTTTACTTATTTAAACCAAAAGTTTCGGACATTTGATTCATGCACTCGGCCGAGCGGCCGGTGGTGCGAAGCTACCATCCGCGGGATTATGCCTGGACGCCTCTAAGGCCGAAGCCAGCCTAGCCGAATCCGGCAATTATATGCTCACTGTGGAGCTCCGAGAGTCGGGAGGCTCTAAACAATGTGACTTTACTAGTCGCTCTGCACTCGTGCGGTGCGACGTCGAAGCCCATTTAGATCTCTGCGATCGGTGTTATCGTTTTTAACGCGTGCACCACGGCGCCGAGGGTCCGAATTAACCTCAGTTCGATGTCGGAACTCGGAATAGTTTGTAGACGACTTACGTTCCTGGCGGGGTGTTGTGCTCGGTAGAGCAGCGTCATGCTGCGATCTGTTGAGACTCAGCCCTACGCCAGGTGATTCGTCCGAGAACAATTCACTTAATATATAATTATGCCATGTGCAATGCGCGCAATATATACGCGCGACTTACGCGCCGTATCCCCGTACGGACGTTTGTAAACTTTTAAACTAGAAAATGTTCTTTCATTCTATCTATGTTTATTTTATTATAACAATTTGATTTCATTGATTTCATTGATTGATTGATTGATTGATTGATTGATTGATTGATTGATTGAACACATTGTTTTGGGTCTTTTGGACGGTTATACGACGATTGAAATGAGATAATTTATTATACGTTATGTCTATACGCGAACACTTTCAGTATCTTCATAACATAACATTCGCACGAGTGCGAAGTGGTTAGTGCGTGTAAGATTTCAATCATTCAATACGCGAAAATGTACATGGACTTTTAAAAGAATTATTAAAATTTTTATGTATATTATGATGTTCTATACGCGAACACGTTTCGTATCTTAGTCGAATATTTCAATACGTACTACACTCTCATTGACTTTGGTTATATATATTTAATTACTATACAAGATTGTGATACCGCCATCATAGGAGTCTATAAGGTTTTCTTGGCATTTCTCATAGTCACTTTTTACGACATTCACGGATATGAAATGAGATTTTTTTTTAAGCCGCGATCATAAGACGTAAACAAAAAATTAAAATATAACTTAACCGTTTCATTGCGACACCAATTTTCGAAAACTTCTAACGAATAAACATTTCCATAGAAGCATAGCGGCATAGAAGTTGATGATACGAGGGCGGCACTGAAAATTTCGGGAATCAAGGAAGTGACACAACATTACTATTTAAAAATGTATTTATTGCTTTTCGAAGTATTCTCCGCGAAATTTGACACATTTTTCCATACGATGGAACCAATCATTGAAGCAACCATTCCATTCGGAAGTTGGGGTCTCCAAAATGGCCTTTTTGTAGGCGTCCACAGCTTCTTCATGTGATGAAAATCTCTGTCCACACAATTTATTCTTTATTTTAGGGAAAGTATATTTCTATTAGGGCTTAGGTCGGGGCTGTACGGCGGATGTTCTAATAATTCTATGTTTTCTTGCTCTTTTGTTCTGTGTGCGGTGTTAGAACTCGCATTGTCGTGATGGAGGATGATGCGGCGGTTGCAGTTCTCTTTACGGAGTTCAGAAACGACCTGTGGCAAACAAATGCTAGCATACCATTCTGCATTAACCGTTCTTTGTCCCTCAAGAGGAATAGTCGTAACATGGCCGGTTTTGGAGACAAACGTGGCCACCATTTTTTTTGCAACACTCCGTGAACGAACAATTTTTGTTGGCTTTAACTCATTTTCGAACACCCAAACTCGTGACTGGTTTTTTGTTTCGGGTTCGTACGCGTATATCCAGGATTCGTCACCTGTCAATCATCGTTCTTGAATTTTCTCGAGTCAATTCCATTTTCTCAGCGACTAAACAAGTTTGACAAAACCTTGAGACGAGACCGAGAATCTTTTTTTTTAAATAAATAAATGGTATTCGATTTTTAAAATCAAGGACTTTTCAATTAAAAAGATTTTAATATGACAGGAACAGTGGAAATATTCCATTTCCGATACTTTTAGTGCAGCCTCTGTATTAGATTAATAAGGATAGCAAAACCAAAGTGTTTTCAAAAAGAAAAAAACATTAGCTAGATGCGCCCGCGCTGTGCCGGTCGGCCGGCGGAAAAACAATAGACTCCATTTATTTGCGAACTTTTTTATGCATGTTCACGCGTTCAAATTGTTTCAAGCAAAAATAAACCTTATACCATACCACAAGAGCATATGGTACTTCCTAGATCCATTCGGCCACATGATAACTGATAATAATAAGACGGCAGTTTAACCAAGACAAACGCATTATGTTTCGTTTTTAACAGGAGACGTTCCAGAAACTTGGTTACAACTTGAGTTCGTGGGCGATCGCGATAAGTGCTTTTATTTGTTACTTATTAGAGAGTATTTTTCTACAACATAATTTTAAAAACCCACACAGTAAACAAAAGTGGCATCCACAAGTTAAAAAAGGTTCTGAACCGCTAAAAATTTTGTTGGCTGTGTGAATTACTTGCAAAGTGCCTGGCCGGCCATCCGCAATAAATCTGTTAAGCGAAACTCTGACTTAGAATTGAGCCAGCTTATAATTTTTTGGATGTGTATCTTTTTTTTTTTTACTATTATAAACCAATGCTTAACTTCTATCCCGCCTGATTGTTAGTGGTAATTTGGCGGAGGTTGATATAGCGCAGCTTCACCCACATCTCTGACTAATTCAGTGGTGACTTGTGTGTCAATTATTATCAGCATATACAGAACATGATACTTCTAGCCAGTTGGCACATCTGGCTAGAAGTATCATGTTCGGTATATTATACGATACTAGGGGTACATGTACCCCAAATTTGAGAAACCCTACACTTAGTATATTATACATCATATAAGCGTGTCTAATTATATTTTTTGTTTCCAAATACAGCAGGTATAGCAGCACTACCATCAGGTGAGCGACTCTCGCCGTTGGATACATTCCTAGACCTACTGACAGCTAAGGCAAGCCTAAATGAACTGGATTTCAACCTCATCATAGAAGCCACTCTCGCTTCTATACAGCACGAAAAAGCTATTTGATCAAACAAAAAAAAACTGACAAAGAAAGAGGGAGAGAGAATGAGGATAATCATTTCTCTACAATTCCTAATGACATTTTAATACAAATACAAAACACTCACGCCTGTCACCCAGAGGGGTAGGCAGATACTACGGACTTCCATTTGGCGCGATCCTGACACAACTCTCTCGCCTCCTTTACATCCATATATTTACGCATACACGCTCGTCGGTTAAGGGTACTCCTAATCTGGCCCATTTTCAATGTATCGCCGATTTGGTCGATAAATCTTCATCTAGGGCGTCCCTTCCCGACTTTGCCGTTCACTTCTGAAACATAAATTTGCTTTGTCACTCTTTCCTCGTTCATTCTTTCTACGTGACCAAACCACCGAAGCATTCCTTTTTTAATCCTAGTCACAACGTCATCTTGCAAACCACACTTTTCTCTTATCACATTATTTCTCTCCCTGTCATTCAGATTCAGCCCTAGCATACTCCGTAATGATCGTATTTCTACAGCCTTTATTCTACTCTCATGCTTCTAATAATAGCGTGTAGAGCCCCATTACCTCTATTTCTTGCGTTCACTCGTCGTTCTATATCTTTATCATATCTACCATCCCTGCTAAATAAACGTCCCAAATATACAAACTCATCCACTTGCACAATCAACTCCCCTTCTATTCTTATTTCACATAACGTTTTACTTTCTTCTCTTTCAAAAACCATCACTTTCGTCTTACTTGCGTTAACTGTCTTACCCCTTTCTTTTAATGACCAGTTCATTAAATTAACCATCATTTGCAACTCGGCTGCCGACGATGCAAATATGACTTGATCATCGGCGTACAAAAGGCATTTGACGGTCAACTCCCCCATTCTCAACCCACATTCTTCAACTTTCAAAGTTTGCAAACAACTGTCCATAAATAGGTTAAACAGCCATGGAGAAGCCACACATCCCTGTCTGACACCTTTTTGAATGCTAAACCAGTCCGAGTAGGCTCCGTTGATCCTGACACAAGCACTAGAGACCCTATAAAGAGACTTTAGTGCCTGTATAAGACCAGCGCTCAACCCAAATGAGGTCAGTGTTTGCCATAACACGTTCCTGTCCACACTGTCATAAGCCTTTTCCAAGTCCATGAACGCACAAAAAACTTTCTGGTTTTTGGCCAAAAATTTCTCCGCAATCATGCGCATGGAAAAGACTTGATCCATACACCCCATCCCCTTTCTAAATCCAGCTTGCACATCCCAAAATTTTCCATCAGTTTCTTCCATAACTCTTTCAATTAACACCTTAGCATACAGTTTATCCACAATGCTAAGCAAGTTGATACCACGGTAGTTTTTACAGTTCTGCCCCTTTCACTTATATATTGAGACTATAACGGCTTTGCACCAGCCTTCCGGTACCCGCTTCAGTTCCCAACATAAATTAAACAAGGTGTACAGCAGGCCTGAAACCACACCCTCTCCAGCCCTTAGCATTTCGAGTGATACTCTATCATATCCGGCTGCCTTACCTGCTTTCATGCTTTTCATTGCTTTCATTATTTCATCTACACTTATCTCCCTACCTCTCTCCACTTCTTCGGGAATTTCTATTTCACTTACTTCAGACGACTCTTCACTCTTAAACACGCTTTCAAAGTATTCCTTCCATCTGTTTAAATTCGAAACTTCATCATTCAGCATGCAGCCATTCTCGTCTCGTATAGCATTAATTCTAGGCTGTTTTGAATTTCCTCTGACAGTTCTTACGAGCTTCCAGAACATTTTAATATTTGCCTGGAAGTTATCAGATATTCTTCTATCATTCTTATCTATCCTTTCTTGCTTTTTCCTTTCAACAACTTCTTTTACTCTCTTATTTATACTTAAGTCTGCCTTTTTCCTTTCAATCTCATCATTCATACCGCCAGAATTACCAGCTTTGGTTGCTAGTAAATCTAGCCATGCCCTCTTCTTTGCTTTAACTTCCATCTGTACCTCATCATCCCACCACAACGTATTACTTCCATAAAAATCAACATTCCATTATGATCTCTTTAGAGACTAAGATTATTATTATTGTATAAGATTCGTATACCTAAAAAAGTAAGTAATGGCACAAAGTATCTTCTAACTGCCAAAAAAAATTTTAATCAAACTATTTCAAAAGAATATTATTTCATTTTGTTACTAATTTAACTATAAGTAGTGTTGTATGTTGTGTGTGCAATTTATCAGTGCAATATTTAGTTAATTGAATAAAACTAATGTGTAATGGATGAAGTTTTATTTTTAATTTATATATAAATATACAATTAATTATAAAATGGGTTGTATGTAACCCAATGAGCTCGTTGCTGATCTTTGTCACTTTTGTGTGATGTAAATATTGATTTGTACACTTCACTACTTTGAGGATCTTTGGCAATACTGTACTCTTTTTTAGTCTTCTTGTATGACGGATCTTCAACAAGCCCAGTAGGATGAGCCCGTTTGGATGATCCAAAATGACCCCTAGTCTGCTTATTTGGGTTAAACTTTGGCAGGGACAAAGGGATTGTATCCATTTCTTTTTTCACTGCTGGACTGCTTCCGGCCTCTTGTTTGTCTTTTTCCTCTTTTATTTCTGTCCCTGAAGTAGAAGGCATTTCTGTGGAGTTTTCTGATGTTACTGTTTCTGTTTTGACTGCTGTTCCTTTTTCTAATTTCTCTGTTTTTATTTTTTTGCTCTTTCGATTTGCTATGCGAATAGTCATTTTTTCCTTCAACAATTCAATATCTTCGTCAGTCCCATTAAGTACCACAATGTCATTATCTGTGAAGGGTTGTTGACACTGCAACAAAATAGTTTGAGATGTTTAACAAATAGTAAGCAGCAGCAACCAAGGTCTCCTTCCATTAACACTGTTCTCCATCACAGGACTAGTATTTTATAGCATATAATAAAAGGTACGGGCAGTAAACCTTAAATAACTGTAAAGGGGAGATATTAATCCCTATGTCATGCTTGGTAAGCGGATTGAAAATGGCAGTATTTGATGTGTTGAACCTTTTACACTGCTACCACTCTGTAGTCTGGATGTTTTACATCTGGCTTAAACAATATGATAATAACCACCATCTATTTGAAGCCATTTTTTCTGGCATTTCCCATAATTGCCTTTTAGGATGTACACGGGATGAAATAGGGAGTGGATTCCCTTATGCCTCCACCATATGGCATGATTAATCTACTTTAGGCTCACGCACAATGTCTTGTATGGCTTATTCAAATATTAAATTGTTTATAGATATAAAGTGGGAGATCCCACTGGGTCTAAAAAAGAGAGCATATATCTACACTAAAGGGACATATATTCACTGGTATACTCTACTAATAATATATGATGACAATTCCTTAGAATGAGGTGATTGCTATCAAGGTGTTTCTAAAATGATTTTATAATAATACTTTGTTGTAAAGTATGCCTTTAAAAATCCTACACAGTTTCTTAGTGGTTCTAATGACTTAGGTATCTTTTTTAAACCAGTGTAACTAAATTTATAAGCTATGTTAATAATTTTTCTATTATGAAATTTTCTATTTATTACTAACATGGACCTTAGCTCCAAATTTCTCACTAGCTCTTTTTCGGAAAATCTATTTGTTATGGTTAGGTAATGAGGACTCTCTAGCTTAATGGCTTGTATCAATGACACACAAAAGCATAAATAGAAGCCAATAGTTAACTCACCATATGGCAAAGGTTTTGCCTAACTTCTTTCAGTGCACGCTCAGCCAGTACACATCCACAGCTCCAGAGAAATATGAATCGGAATTTACCAGTCATCTCAAGACCGCTTATAGGGCAGATGTAAGGAGCACTGCTATCACCTACAGCACCATCCGTGTGATCTGCATTTGTATATGCAGGGTTCTTTGTCAGCTTCAGATCTTTGATATCCTGGAATAATAATTGGCAAACATGTGGTATAACCATGTAGTTGCAATGTAAGAATATCCACTACCTCATATCATCCCGTGGGTGTCATAAGAGGCAACAGAGGGAAATAAATCAGGAAATGGGCAGCAGTGTCTACCTAATAACAACTGAAAAGAAAAAAAATGCTGCCAACCCATTTACTAAGCGTGCCAACTATGGCAAATATCCCTTCTATGAAGCAATCTCTGGGGGAGGCCTATGTTCAGCAGTGAACTTTAATAGGCTGTAATGATAAACATATGTGTCACCATGGGGAACAATTCAATTCTTGATGAACTGACTGAATTCCTACATGTCTTCCTCACTTCAACTAGTGCAGGGGCCACCCTACACTTCACTAGCAGTATGAAGCTACCAATCAAGAACCTCTTTACCATCAGTTGTGATTCTTTGATTTTTTTTTAAATTTTACTATGATACTTCAACCTTTTTTTTCACAAGTTACCAATGATCTGGAATATAATTTGGCCACTGTAACGACACGGGAATTTTGGCGGGAACTTGAATGGTGGAGGATTGCTGCTCTTGTATTGTTGTTTGTTTGGTTTGAAGTGGATTTTGATATATAAAAGTGGTGTAGTTTTGTGTATTAAGTATCTGCACATGTGTACTAGTAGTGGAAACGGTGAAACAATTGCTCTGATGGTGATGTAATTCTCAAGATAAGGTCTGCTTAGGCACCTTGATATACCATCGCCAACTGTCAACTGTCTGCTGGCTCAAGTCGACAACAAAATCTCCCAAAGGCTGCACAATGTGACACATCAACATATTGTGAAGCAGTGTACTATGAAGGATAATTATACATTGTAACTTCAGGCTCAGAAGGGCTAGAACCTAGATCCGTAAAACCAGTTATGAAAAAAATATGTTAACAACACCTATTGTTTCATCATAACATAAATATCTTTTACAATTTAAATAGAGAGAGTGCAATACATAAATATCTCTTACCTTCATATTCTTAATGTGGGTAATAGATTCGGGCTTAGTATCCTTGTCTAACAGAGACTCCAAAACCGAACTCTTACTGTAGAGTCGCCCTAATCCACATGCCACTATAGGCTCTTGTAAAGGTTGTTGTGATAACGCACAATTGCGCCATTTAAAAGCTCGTTCAGCATCTTTATCTTTCTTTAAAATAAAAAAAAGCATTAACCTTAAATAAAACAACAAATTAAAACACAAAATAGTCTTTAATATGCACCTGTTCTGGTTTCTTTTTCATTCGAACCAGTTCATCTCGACGTGGAATAGTACCACCATCACAACCCATTATATTAATAAATTCTGCTTAAAAACTCAACTATAATACAAAAAATATACCTTCAACCCTTGCAATTTCTTTTCTAATTCTAACACACAAACTATATAGAAATTCTAACAGTTTGACATAGCTTGCTACAGTATATATAAAAGTACTCTGTGGCTTGCTACATATATATTTATCTATGGTTTGACATTGACACAAACAAACACAATGACATATAGATAAGGTTTGACCATAGATAAGTATATATGTAGCTAGAGATGAGGCGTATATACTAGAAAAGATCCAGGCACCAGGTATTAAACGAGCACCTGCTCCAACTTTTAAAAGACTTGATTCACCTTGTCTCACTGTGCTTACGCGTCTCACGGCACTGGTGCGGCGGCCCATTCTAATCGAACAAGAACTGGCACGGCGAAGAGAGATAGCATTTTGCTGCCGTAGTTACTAGTCTGCTTTGTCGCTCACTCGTGTTTGCCTTAATCATTCATGTGTCAGTCATTTGAATTTGAACAGTATTTCAATGTTTATAAAACTAAGGCGACGCGCACTCGTGTTGTCCTTTTTGAAGTACACTAATCCGCAGTCTTTCTATCTTTGTCTGTCAATACTCGAGACTAGTCGGGACTAGTCCCGGGGACTTCAACCAAATACTAGGTAGATTTTATACACTAGTTACTTGTAAATACTCGATGCGATTGGAGATTGGAGACCATATGATGCAGTCGAGTGTCTAGTACGGACTCATGCAAATGTGATCTCGGCACCGTATTGATACTTTTTAACGGTGGTAGAGCCACGCAGCAGCTTTCGCTGTTTCACGTATGGGCCGGCTCGAGCCGGGTTGGTACCACGACCTAACAGAATACCGGGGTGAAGTGGAAGCTCTGCTCCTGCGTTTCGTCTGGTGAGTGCAGGTGACCGAAGGCCCAATCCCCCCCCCCCATCAACATGGTAGCGGAATTAAATTATAGACTACCCCAGGAGGATACCAGCACCTCTAGAGAATCCCTCACTGAGCATACAAGACCATGCTACTCCACTCTACGGCAAACTGAGCAACAAGACCACCTAAACGCCGTCCACTACCATCTCGAGACGGTGAAGCCGGCCTTGCTCTTTCTGACCGAGACGCAGGTGTCCTCTCCGGCTGATACTTCGTACCTCTCCCACCCGGGGTACAAATTGGAACACTCATTTGTGCCTAGCTCTTTTGGCCGTTGGAGGAAAAAGGAAGACCTCCCGCCAGGCAAGGTTTTCAGCCCGGAGAGTGGCCAACGCTCCGTGTGGTGGTTTGGAGCTCATCTATATATACCGCAGTGCGTTCGAAACTTTGAAAGCGCGATTTAGGCTTCGGTGCGTTTCGCCGCAATACAACGCCGCCACACTCCTATACATTTTTGTTATATGAATACTTGAGTTGAATCTGGTCAAATTCCCAAAATATACCTTAATGTAATATAACAAGGATGACGTAGCCGTGACAATAAATGCTTAGCATATTATGCCAGTACATAACATTAGACAATAGACATAGTAGAGCCACGCTACAGATATATTATGATTGTAGCACGAAAGGAACCTTTTAATTGGAAACTAGGCATTCCATCTCAGCGCTCAAGGGTAACAATGCATTCTTAATTGAAGATAAGTAAATGTAGATCTCTATGGGCCACGAAATCCACTTACCATCAGGTGGACTGTGTGCTCGTTTGCCACCTTTATTCTATAAAAAAAATTAAACACTTAGAAAGCTTTCGACTTTGTGTTATAAGATATTTAGGCTAGTTTAAGTATACGTCAGAGAGGACATCTGTTCTCGACGCCTCTGCAGTCTTGAAGGTTCGGACCTGATAATACTTTGACTACGTGTAGATAACGACAATCATCCGTGCGTCTACGGGTGCTTCTATCAACTCATCAACCACGTCCAAATGGCTACAGATTCCTTGCTACAACACGCCCCTCGACAGAGATCGTGATCCTTGGCGATTTTAACGCCCACCACGCCGTATGGCTCGGTTCACGTTTAACCGATCATGCGGGGAGATCTGTTTATGACTTTGCCTTGGCATATGGTCTGACACAACTGGTTACTTCGTCTACGCGGATTCCAGATGTGGAGGATCATACACCTTCCCTGTTGGACCTTCTGCTGACCTCTCATCCAGACGGATATCAGGTTTCCGTCGATGCCCCTCTCGGCTCTTTGGACCATTGTCTGATCCGGAGTGTGGTGCCACTCACGCTCCCCTCGCGGTTGCGTTCTGCAGGTTGCCGCCGTGTTTGGCATTACAGGTCGGAGGATTGGGACGGAATGCGGTCTTTCTTTGCATCCTGCCCATGGGGGTTTACTTCTCGCCGGATGATCCCAGCGCTGTTGCTGACTCTGTCACTGATGTAGTGCTACAGGGAATGGAACTATTTATTCCATCATCTGTCTGTCATCTGGGGGTCATTGTAGAAGCGTGTTCGTAGCGACCCCTGCCAGCCCTTTTCAGGGCTGCAATTCTACTCAGTTGCGCACCCATGCCAACGAGGGTTAGGGCGTCCCCCCAAGGCGACGCACACCAGCTCGTCCCCGTTGGTGCGCGCAAAGCGGCGATGGGGACCGCCACCCGTCACGCACAGTGGAATGTTAGAGGAGGCATGAGAGATAAGACGAATGAGTTGATCGAAATAATGAAAGAAAGAGAATTAGATGTCGTGTGTATGTCGGAGACCAAACGGAAGGGCAGTGGTACTGAAGAGCTCCCTGGCGGGGCGTTGGCTCTATGGTCCGGAGTCCCGGAGAGCGAGAACGCCTGCCAGGGAGTGGGGGTGCTGCTGTCTTCTCGGTTGGTCGATGTTATGACTGAATATAAGTTTGTGAACTCAAGACTTCTCTGGGTTCGCTTTAAATTGGGGCTGACGAAGTTATTCCTTTTGGCTGTTTATGCGCCGGTAGCTTCGTCGTCCAGGGCTGAGCTGGAGGAGTTTTGGGAGAATGTAAGAGAAGTTCTAGATTTGGCTAGGGGAAACGAAAGAATTGTTGTATGTGGTGATTTGAATGGATGGGTTGGTACCGCTCGACCAGGGTACGAGTCGGTACTTGGAAAGTTTGGCGATAAAAGGGTTAATGATGCTGGCAAGCTTATACTGGCGGTATGCAAGGAAAAGGGTCTTCTTGTGACAAACACTCTGTTTAATCACAAGAAAATCCATATGTATACTAGAGAAAGAAAAAATGAGAGAAGTATGATCGATTTGTTCCTGATGGATGACCGACTGCGAAAACAGGTTATGGATACGCGAGTGTTCAGGGGTGCTGACCTGGGAACGTATCACTATCTAGTGATTACTAGATTTAGGGGTCTGTTCGCGGGTTGGCGCTACCGGACGGCAGTGACAGAACCACAGTCGGTCTGTCGCATCCGAAGCTGGAAGCTTCAGGAAGCGGATACTAGGGACAAATATCATGCGAGGGTAGCCGAAAAGCTTGACACCATCGATGGCAGAAATGAATGTGTAGAAAGAACATGGCAGAATCTTAGGGATGGAATGGTAAGTGCAGCGGAAGAAGTGTGTGGAACAATAAAAAGAGGCAGTAGTAAAAGAAGAGATGCATGGTGGAATGATGAAGTGAAAGAAGCTGTAAAGAAGAAGAAGAAAGCATGGTTAGACTACTTGGCCTCTAGTAATGATAAGAATATAAGAGAGAAGATGAAAGAAAGATATAGGCTGCAGAAAGTTCACACGAAAGCATTGATTGAGGAAGTGCGTGAAAGGTGTAGAACGGAAGCGGACGAAAGGTTATCGCACAACTTTAAGGAGAACTCCAAACTCTTCTGGAAAGAGGTTGGAAGGACCCGAAGTGGTGCGACGGCCTTAAGAATGAACAAAGTGCTTTCGAGAACTAATGACGTCCTCTCAGAAAAATCGGACGTCATGCAGCGATGGAGCGAATTTTATAGAGAAATGTATGCGTGTGATGATCTTAGTGAGGGATCCGGGGATGACGCCGTGACTGGTACGCCAGACCCGGACCTCGATGACACTGAGGTCATCAGTATGAAAGAGATTGAACGTGCGATTCGAAGTTTGAAATGTGGTAAGGCTGCGGGACTAGACAGAGTTACTGCTGAAATGGTCAAGTATGGTGGGCCTCGCGTCTGGGACAGCTTTCATCTGCTGTGCAATTTGTGCTGGCGGACGGGGGATGTCCCGGATGATTGGCGATCCGCAGTCATTGTGCCTTTATATAAAGGTAAAGGTTCACATTTTGACTGCGGGTGCTATCGGGCGATCAGCTTGACCAGTTTAGCAAGTAAAATTTACTCGAAGGTTTTGACACGTAGGATGCAAGAGAAATCGGAAAGATTTCTATGGGAGGCACAATGCGGATTTAGACCTGGAAGAGGATGCACGGATCAAATGTTTTCTCTCCGCATGATCACGGAAAAGCTTCTGGCTGCTAACCAGAAGATTTTCTGTGCTTTTGTGGATCTTGAGAAAGCATTTGATAAGGTTGTAAGGAGGAAAATGTGGGAACTGTTGCCGGGGTATGGTGTGGATGGTCGATTGCTAAGGGCTGTGCAGTCTCTTTACTGTGACTGTAAAGCCTGTGTGCGGGTAGGGCATGACCTGTCACCCATGTTTAGCGTCCAAACGGGCGTAAAACAGGGTTGTGTCATGTCTTCCTGGCTGTTCATACTGTATCTCGACAGCTGTTTACAAAAGCTGAAAGATAGCTGTTTGGGTGTGAAATTGGGTGACATAAAAGTAAATTGTCTGCTGTATGCTGATGATGCAGTGCTTATTGCACCATCAGAGGCAGAACTGCAGGCATTAGTCACGTGTATGAAAGAGGAATGTGAAATTAAAGGTCTCCGTTTGAACGCTAATAAAACTAAGGTTCTGGTATTTGAAAGGAACGAAGAGAGAACGAAGTGTGAAATATGGGTAAATCAGGAATGTCTAGAACAAGTAAATGAAATTGTATACTTGGGGAGTGCTTTTAGCCGGGA